TTAACCATTGGTAAGTATGGGAAAATTGTTGTTTACTCCAGGAAAATTCATTTTTTGGCCGAAACGAAGAGTTATTATTGCTTTAAGTTCTGTCATAAAGCAGTCTGTTGCACAACAGTGAATTCATGTTTTGCAGGATTTTTAGGTGTATTTGACTCTGAAATGTCAATGAAGAAAGTTCAGTCAAAATGGAATCCTTTTCCATATAATCTGGGATTCACGGCAGCTTTGTATAGTCATGGCTTGCATTACTGTCATATTATAGCAATAAGGTGTGGTCACATTTAGACAATATTTTCCACAATTTTATTTAGATATCCTATCACAGTATGTACATAAGACACATTTATATCTTACATAAGGGCACACAATGCTTTACTGGACTACAGCTAGAATTTATTGGGTTAAGTTGGTGTTTTGTATGAAGACTAAAAATGTCAGTTCGGTGAAAGACTCATTATGTTATTCTTTGGATAATTTGAAGCCGCTGGCTGCAATTTTACATGTTAGCGCGAGAGCAGTATTGTGTCCCCCAACTGTTGAGCAGTTGATCTCCTTAGAATGGTTTAGTTATGCAGTGCTGCCCCCAGTGGTGATTTTTTTCAGTCACACCAAACACTGTCAGTCATTGTACAGTGCTGCCTCTAGTGGTAATCATCAAAGTTACAGTCAACAGATTTGCACGTCTTTTGTATTTTTCATTACTGGGAGGTAGTCTGCATTTGTTGTATTCATATACATTTGTATGTATTTAAATCATTATATATGAAGCTATCAGGTGCTACTTTCAGAGCTTCAGCGGGTGTTGACAACTTAGCTAAATTAAATATAATACAGACAGAAGATAAAGATATACTCAGTATAGAGAACAACTTCTTTAATATATTCAGATGTAAGGGGAACTTATTACAGCATCAGATTTTCACATCTCTATAAACAAATTATTTGGTTTATGAAAGGGGAAACAGCAGCTTCAGTTAAACATCTTGGAAATAAAAACATGAATAGCTTTGGTAGTGGTACCCAATTACTTTAATAAAATTATTATGAGAATCCAGTATGAAAATCACGTTTGATTATTTTGTTCACTGCTTTTTTATCAAGCTTTGTTGTCAACTCTGGAAGACTTCTGCTTTCATAATTATGCCATGGTGTTTGTAAGGTGAACTTCATAATAAAGTGTTATTTTATCTGAACCCATTTCATGTTTTGTGCCTCGGATATGAGAGATTCTGGATATGTACTTATCATTTAGACACTAGATGGGAGGGAGAGGGTCGGGGGGGGACATCTCCAGAATAGAGCCTATTAACCTGGATAAACTTGTTTCTTGATGAAGATGATATCACAGACAGAAATATTGGAGGTGATATTAAAAGTAATTTTTTTTTGGGGGGGGGGGAGGGGGGGAGATGCACCTTTAATAGATGCCAGCTCAATATTGCTGGACACTGAATACTATTGCATCTATTGACTTGACCTGATCAAGGATTTGTGCTGGAAATGAGAGGATGCATGACATATACCAGCTATTATGCTCATTAATAAACAGAGGGTATTCCGAGAGTGCAGACTTCTGGCATGGAAAAACTCCATGAAAAATTCTTTTCAAAATATATAATATCCTCTAAATCTCATTGGAATTTTGTAAAGGACTCTTTGAGAAAGATCTATCTTGTCCACTAACAACTGAACAGAAAAAGCCACACCAATAAAAATATTCCCTCTAATTAACAGAGGTAATGAATGAACAACCTCTGTGGGGAGAGGTCAAAGCTTGTTAGTTATATAAGAAGTGGCCTTAATGCTTATTTGCTTGAACTGTAGCAGCACAAAGTACATAGAAATTTTGGTGTCCAATCCAACTGCATCAAAATTAAATGTTTATTTGTGCTATCAATCATTCTTTTTGTCAGAAATCCACCATTTAACATCTGGCCCATTACTTTCTATAGGTTTGACAATTTCTAAAACAGTGGGGAAATAAATAGTATCTCTAATCTTATACTCCCTCCCTGCATCTCTAAAGGCAACCCTTATCCTGTCACGAACTGTCTTAGGGTTGCCCCAATTAGTCACAGGGGTATCTGAGGGAAGATCGTGCTGAGCAAATGAAATTTCTGGTTGTAAAAGTATATAGGCATGATCAGAGTCAAAAGCATATCTTGAGTGGTTATCTGGGTAGCAGGGTGCAAACGTCGTCACAAAGAAAGTGATTTTGTTGAACTGGAACACCCATCCTCTTTTGGCGATAAAGGACTGCTTCATGCAATGCACGCCAGAAGGATCGTGGTCCGATATTGTTGTCAAAACCCTACGCACAGCTTGTCCAAATGTCTGGAAATAATGAGGAAGAAAGAATTGATTTAAATGATGTAACCCCAATAATAATGATTATAATAATGATGATGTATTGAAATCCTACTTTTCTTCAGTGGTATATTAATTTTTTAACCATTTAACTAATTGTGTCTGAAGATAAAACAATTTTCCTGCATGGCTCAAAAGAACTGGAAAAATACTACAAAAAAGATAAGATTAAAAAAAAAAACAAAACAAAACAAAACAAACAAAACATCTTATACAGTAAGCCTTTAGGGTCAACACTGACAGAATTTCCTAAATTCAAAACATCTGGATGTTCTGAGCACCTCCCATTTCATGAATTATGACAAAAAGGATCATTATGTTATTTTATTTAATTTCTTCTGTACAGAATTCATGATACATTACCGTACATACCTGGACATCCTTGCCATAGTCTCCTGGAAGTTCATAGACAAAACCATCCAGACCAAGAGGTTCACATAAACATGTAAACTTGAGGAAGGTTGGCACACTTTGATATATATTGTGTTCTGAAATAAATAAATAAATTAATTAATTAATTAATTAATTGACAAATAAATAAATTAATTAAAGAATTGTGAAGATGACATACTATTGTTGAGTGCTAAATGAAACTAGTAAAATATGAGAAAATGGAAAAGCACTTTAAAACCTCTGCCAATGCAACTCAATTTTCATTATCATAAATTATTATTAATCATCTAATAAATTAGCATAATTCTAATCATTAGTTAATAAACTTTAGTATGATTTAATTCTTCATTCTTTAATTACCTCATCTTAACACATGCCTTTATATGTACATACCTATACTTAAATCATAATTCCATTTCGGAGAACCCCATAACCGTGCCTTCTTTGCAAATATGCATTCTGTGTTCATTTTCAGAGTCTCAAAATTTGCTAAAGAGTCAACGTCCTCTGCATCATAGGTCACAAGTTCAGTGACCTTGTGCTCCATAAGGTCAATGACCTTTCTTGGAAGGTCATCAACACTGATTTGTGGCTTGCCTTTCAAAGGATTCCTATTCAATTTTGGTATTGCATCTCTTTTATCTTCAGCGTCATTTAATGCATAAAGTGAAACTGAAACAAAATAAAATAAAAATAGGTTTTTGGTTTGGTACAGCAAATGAGCTAATTCAAAAAGAAATTAAAATAATTCATTTTTACTGAGTATTTTTACCTTATTTCTCTATGTTCCCCAAGCCTTTTTAAAACAATCAAAATACATAGTAGACCAGCTTTTAGACATGCCCCAAGCTTTAAATTTTCAATTTTGGCAATCATGGTCCTATTAAAATTTTCCATTTTACAGTTATTCAGTATGTGGCGAATATGCTTGTATACACACGTACCTAACAATGCCACAAATGCAGTCAAAGAAGACCAAGATATTACAAGAGAAGTCCCCAGGAACCCTAAGAAGCATGAAATCCTAATACATAATATAAGATTGGATCTGTACTTATGAAGAGTGTTCCACATGGTGAATCAGCAGTCTGGCTTTAAACCTGAAAATAAATACGTAATACAGATAAATGTTAGGTAAACTACTCTGTTTTAAGATTTTAAAACTAATTCTGATTATATTTTTCTCTTATTTTTTTAAAAGTTGCTAGTAATAGTTTAAAACTCAGAGTCAAAAGTCTTTCCCCATTTTTAAGTCATTTATGGTTTTTGATCTTTACTCTATGCGTCTACATATAGTACATATAAAAATGCAAATAAAAGAACTTAAGAATGTTTTCCGTGCTGAAATTAAAGAGGTCTTCAGTGATCGATTTACAATTAATGTTCATATAAAAATCCTGCATGACACTCAATACGAATGCTTGCAACTTACTATAGTACATGTATAGATTGCTCACCTCCTACGCGCACCCAGCAAGGATTACCACTCTCTCCAAAACTTGAATTATTTTGTAAACCTGCCTGTTAATATGTTCGTACATTATCAACAAGTCAAAGCTGACGTCATGCCATGTTAATTTCAGGCAGTGTCAAACGTTCCACCGTGGAACTTGTACCCGTTTTTCTTCTAAATCTGACCAAATCGAAATATTTTCCAACGATTCTTACAGCTGTACACTGCAATTCAATTGTCTAAACACCACCTTATTTAGAGTAGCATGTCATGCTTTATCAAGACAAGAAACTTAAGAAAGAAATCTACATTTTATGAGAGAAGTTTGTTTATCCCGGAAATAACTCTTCACTACGCGGAGGTATGAAACTGACAGATCGAAAACAAAGCCAAACCCACGTGAAGTATCTCACAGGTATTGACACGTTTATCATTTCGAGAATTGTCAGCTGATAAGTGATTCTGCTGTACTGGGTCACGGTATGTACCATTGTAATTATTTATATGGCTTGGCCGGTTAAAGCCAGTCGGGATTTATCAGAAGCGTCCGTTATCTGAAACCTATCACAGGTGGTAGTGCCGCGTAACAGGCATTCGGCACGTAGTGACACTGTGCGTTGCGTGATCCGCATAATCGTACAGTAGCTCGTGTGTTTACGTTGTTACAGGGTCAGTGTCGAATAAGAGCTCATACAGTAAACATGCAGAACAGGCAGACATACATTAAATCAGTGCTCTTTAGTCTTGATGGGGCGCAGATCAAATGTGGACGCGTCATCCAGTTATATAATACCAGTACTACTGTACTGCCTGGTAAAATTTAAATTAATAGAAAAAACAAGTGGGATATAAAAATGCCCTACTTTACACTGGCCAAACAGACCGACCAAGCAGCAACCGGTTAAGACCGGACCTTACAAGACCTGACATTTCCAAGTACTCAGTACTAAACCCTAATATTTATATTTTTTACATGTATTTTGTGTCAGCATCAGTTTGTGTACAGAGTCTGTACAGTTTGTCTTGTGTCAAGAGTCTGTGGTAGGTACTTGCCAGGTCTGTTTAAGTCAGTTGTCTGCCTCTTGCACTTCTGTCTGTTTATTTATTTATTCTGTTTATTGACTGATCATGCAAGAGAGACAGTATTAACTGGGGAGATCACTGTGAAAATGTAATATGTGGTGGCGTGAAACGTACTGTGCTGTCAGATTTGGTGGACTGATTAACTGTAATTGGCAACAATGCACAGTAATGAAAAATGAACATTTTTCTAAACAAATGTTATTTCAGTTGGCGACAGTGTATTGTGTTTAAGGCTGAGAGGTATGGGGTTATACTTCGTCAGTGAATCTAAAAACCACAAAACAACTTTAAAGAACACCACATTATTGTAGTCTATCAAGATGAAAGGAAAATACTATGAAAAAAATTTCAATGACTGATAAAATATACATGTACGAGTATATGTCATGCTGTTTTTATTATTTATAGACTATTTATATAATATAAGAAGTGTTATTCTAACTTAAATAGTAATTGTTTTAACATGTGGTTTTTAGATTCATAAATTGATCAAAGTGATAGGCTAAGCCTAGTGTGGGTGAAACTGAAGTCCCCATCATGAAGAATATTATATTAAAGGCAGATTTTAAAAAAATCATTTTCACCTGAACTTCACCTGTATATTTCAGACTAGGTGGTCTGGATAAGATGCCGATTTCAACATTCTTGCCTGTTTTAACAGATAAGTATGAAAGGAACACTGGCAGCTCTGAAATTGTTTGATACACAAAGTAGACCATGGGCATTTTACTATAAATGTTATTGATATATGTGGAACAAGTGGAAAGAAAAAAATTTAATGGTTTTAATTGTCACTTAAAGTTATCACTTGACGTGACACTGGCCGAAATAAAGTGGTTCAACTGCCTGCTTCTCAGAGTGAGGATGTATCCCTATATCTCTGTGTCCCTGTATCATGTGCCCACTTTGCCCCCCCCCCC